GGACTTCAATTCCCAGAATTCCCTAGCCAGCCATGCTGGCTGGGGAATTCTGGGAGTTGAAATCCACACATCTTAAGGTTCCCAGGGTTGAGAAACACTGCTCTAGACATCAGTTTTGTGAGTTGGTACATTTGGAGTTCATGACAGTGAATGTGCAGAGAGGGAGAGAGAAGATAAATAGCAGATTTGACACACATTCTCTATAGAATGCCTACCAAGAGATACTAAGTCAGCCAGACAAAGCAAGAAAAACTGGTAAATATTGATAACCAGCCCCTGTGCTTATCTCACAAGCATCTGAGTTTTGCCAAGAATCAACACCCACTGTGCTACCACGTTTTGTATCTTTTTGCCCCATTTTGCATATCAACGTAGGGTAATTGAGAACAGCATTCCAAGGGCTTCACGATGTGGCCTCTAGCCACTAGAGCAGCACATGCTTCAACAGTCTGAAGCGAAGAAACAGAATGCCACAGTCTGAAGAGAGGCTCCAGGGGCCAGTTATCATTTTCAGCTATTATTCACCGCCTTTCAAGGGATATTTGGCGGGACCATGCTTTCAGTAGGACTGTGACAGAAAGAGAGGGAAATCAACATTTCTCTCTCACAGGAGACACGCAACCTAGCACTCTCTAAGTCAGCTTCCCCAACCTGGCACTCTCCAGATGCATGGGAACTGCAGTTCTCACATTACTGCAGCCAGCACAGACTTACAATGTAAGCCAGCAGCCTTATAAATATAATGCGTATGTTTGCTGTACTGTACTTAATTTGCACAACAGCAGATTGCAGAATTCTACTTTCCTCGGGTGGCCTGGTTGCAGAGATTTATTCTAAAGCCAGGCGTATGTAACCGAACCTGTGCCAGAACCCCTCAAGTGTGCCCTTTTCAATGATACTTTAGGAACATAATTATCTCGGGCAATGGCAGGAAGTAACTCATCATCTTTCAAACTTTTCCACAACCTCCCTACTCCCCTTTTACCTTTATCCATGGATGTGCTTTGATCTGGGGAAACTTAAACTCTGTATAGTTGGGGTTCATCTCTCGTATCTGTTCTCGCGTCGGTGTTCCCAGCACCTGCAGAAGGGAAGGGGAGAAGAACAATAAGATTACAGCAAGCCTCTATGGTACTTTAAGGACAAGACAAAAGCCTGGTTACTCAGCCCATTAGGGTGACTCTCCAATTCCACTTTTTGGGGCACATTTGCAGTGCTGAAAATAGGTTGTCAGCACCCTCCCAAAATGGCGGATGGGAAGACTGTCTTGCCCAGTGTTTCTCAACCTTGGTGGCTTTAAGAGATGTGGACTTCAACTCCCAGAATAGCAAGTTTTATAATACAGCAAAATGGGGCTGGCAGCTTTTGGGTTGTTTTTTTTTGGATGGAAAGCGGGAAATCTGTTAAAGTCCCTCAAAAGCAGCTCTTGAGGGACAAGAGCAACATGGTGCACCAGCTTCTCTGAAAGATTACTTGCTCTACTGCCTTCAAAACACCTGGGTATTGGTCATTTAAATAAGAATACATCAATCCCCTCATCACGAATGGAGTTTATCAAACTAAAGAGCAGGTGTATTAGCTCTAATTGCCGGCACATGTAAGTAGGCACTCTAAAAGGATGTGCGAAACAGACTCAACTTTTATATTCAAGCAGATACAGCCTTTGCTTATAGGAACCTTCTATGCAAGTTAACTTTATAGGGTTTCTCCCTTTTATATACATTTATACATGTGTTAACTGTGTGCTATATGTTTTTTTTTTAATTTTGTGCTTGCACCATCAAACAATCAATCAATCGCTTGCTTATCATCATGTGTCTTCGGGTATTCACATGTTACCTGTAGCCTGGAGTCAAGTGCCATGAAAAGGAGATGGATAGAGCTATTCAGTGTTCTCTAGGAAAAGGGAGGTTGGGAACCTTCTGATGCACAAAACCACCCAACCAGGCAAGTTCACAGGGAAAGAGTTTACATGGATATCCTGCCTTACGTAGTTATATATAAATATATATTTCTATCCCACTTTTATTTTCCTTGCTTTCCCTACAGGAGGAGGCATGGAAGCCATCAAGGGAGGTCAAGCCATCCCTGGCAGCAGCAGAGACCTCACAAAGAGGGTGGCCCAGTCATTACCTTGATGATCTCCACTAGCTGATCCACTCCACTGTCCCCAGGAAATATTGGCTGTCCCAGGAGCAGCTCTGCCAGCACACAGCCAGCAGACCAGATATCTATGAAGAAAGCAGGAAAGGAGTGTCATCAGTCCCATGCAGAGAGAAGCAGTACCCCATTGCTTGTAGTAAAGAACTCCAGTGCTTCCACTTTGTTGCAGAAGTCACCATCCTAGCTCACTGAAGTTCAGGGCAGGCAAAAGATCCCAGGTTCAAAGCTGAGCATCTCCAAGTAGATGGCAAAACAGTAAGGTCCAGATGAGATGCTTGCCAATCACCACAGAAATACTGAGCAAACTACGGGAATCTATACGCTTGCTAAACAGAAGTGGGGAACTCAATGGCCCAACGGGCACTTCCGATTCCCACCTGACAATTATAAGTCTAACTTCCTATGATACAGCAGACTTACAGCTATGGTATATTGCACCATGTTTCCAGGTGGACTAGATTACAACTCCCAGAATTCCCCAGCTAAGGCATTTCTGGAAGTTGTAACTCAACACACCTGGAGGTTTTGGGAAAGCCAACTCAAAACTGTTCAAGCAATCTTTTTGCAGTTCATGCACAGAGTTTGCTTCCAGAAGCAACCACATCTATGGAAGGAAATTCACTTGGTATGAGCAGCAAAAACTTACAAGATGCCTCAGTGGGCACCTAGGTCATTCTCACCTATATTTGAGGTGTAATCCGTGGCTCCAAAAATGAGCTCAGGCGCACGGTAATAGCGAGAACAGATGTAGGAAACATTTGGTTCGCCTCGCACCAGCTGCTTTGCACTGAAAAAAGGGAGAACGGTATATGGGGATCTACAAAGAACTAGAATGCTGTTAAAATGAGGGCAGAGATGCATAAATTGAAGCCCCAGTATGGCCCCCCACCCTCAAGACCTCCAAAATGTGTTAACTGTATATTTTATCTTACAAAAGATGGAAATGATTTAATACATGACTTAAGAATAGTAATATAAATTACAGTAAATGTACAATAAAGTTACATGTAAACAACATGAATACAAGGTTAGGTTTTGTCCTGGCTCCATCCAGTTTTTTGGGATGCAGTTTGCTCTCAGCACCCCACTCAAGAGCCTCAGGCAGATCTCAGCCTAAAAAAGGATACTTGCCCCCAAGTTTACAGCCTTAGAGTCTCAGCAGGAAGATGGGGATCCATAACTTGCTTAACCTTGGAGCTCAACAAGTGACCTCTGGCCAGTTGCTTTCACTCTCAACCTCCCCACAGCGTTGTGGGGAGGGAAAATGACAGGAGAGGGAAAATCTGGCTATGCTGCCCCAAATATCTCAGAGGAAAGGCAAGATCTGCAACATTTATTTACAGAACGTGGCTCATAAACTCTTTCTTGGGTAGCCTTGCAAGATGATCCATTAAACCGTGCCAGCAACAAAAACTAACGGCTGCACAGAAACAATGTCACAGAATGACCAACATTCTGAACACCAGGGGTGGGGGGAGGAAGGGTCAGTCAAGACCGTTGACCAGCCACGTGCAACAGCTCTGAAAGAACGATTTTGCCTGAAAGGAAAGCCTCATCTGACGCAGCCAGGTGCAGCACAAAGGCATCAGACACAGGGAAGTAGAGTTGCATGTAAGGCAAGAAGCACATAAATCTTTAGGGAAAGATTTCAACTCCGACAGAACGAGCCTACTTGTAGGTTTAGAGCATCAGGCCAAAGATAACCCCAGTCCTCTGGTTAGAAGTCTATGTTGCACCTTCTCTCACCTGCCGAAGTCGCAAAGCTTCAGTACTGCTGTATCAGGATCCACCAACAGATTCTGAGGTTTGATGTCTCGATGACACACACCTTGAGAATGGATGTAAGCGAGGCTGCGGAACAACTGATACATGTATACCTGAATGGAGGAAAGGAAGCAGCCATTAACGAGAGCCAGCTCGGTCTAGTGGTTAAAGTACTGGCCTAGAACCCAGGAGGTGGTGAGTTCTAGTCCCACCTTAGGCATGAAAGCTGGCTGGGGGACTTTGGGCCAGTCCCCCTCTCTCAGCCCAACCCACCTCACAGGGTTGTTGTGGTGGGGAAAATAGGAGGAGGAAGGAGTATTCGGTATGTTCGCCACCTTGAGTTGACCAAAATATATATTTAAAAAGTAGGATAAAAATATAATAATACAACAACAATACGGTAATAATAATACTTTAAAGTAAAAACTACCTATAAACATCTACTTTCTTAATACAAATTACAGCAAACATAGATAAAGGATAATATGACAGTAAACCATGTGCTCACTCTCATTATGGATAATGCAATGACCTGCTGTTTTAAAGCAGCTTCCCCAGTCTGCTGACATCAATTCCCTTACTCTCTGGGAGATTCTGGGAGTTGAAGTTCAGCATATTTAGAAGGTGTTCGCCTTCCCCAACCTATCTTAAGATTACAAGAACAGAATGTCCTTGTTGTATCAGAGCAGATACTTTCAGCAGCCGGGCAAGTATCTTTCAGAATTTAAGTAAGATAATCCCCTCCTTTAACATTTGTCCTTACCATCTGATATAGTACTTCTGCAAAAACAGGATCACATTCGGGCAGCTTGCCTATCAATGTTGGTAGACCCCGGCACCGTGGAGGCATCAACCCTTCCTTAAAGCATCTATGCTCGCTGTCCTCCACTTTTGCCAACAGAGAACGCATGGGGAAGATGCGATGCCTCTCACAGAGATGGATAAAGAAAGAAGGAATCTTTTGTTGTATCATTCTGTCTGCTAAGCTAATGCTAGCTAACTGGAGAGAAAACCTAGGCAAGAGGCAGACAGAAACAATCACAGCCCAGAAGAAATAATTGGAGATGTTTGAGAATCCCTGACAGGGAACCTAAGGGGATTTAGAGAATGAGAGGAAAGAGAAACAACAGAGCATGAAGAATGTGGGGAGAAAAAAAAAATGAACAAGAAGACAGGTGAATAGACCTGCTCCAATATTCACATAGTGAACGTTCATGGGTTGCAGACTTAATTGTGGTAGGGAATGCCACATGTTACTTTATTTTGCTGCTTCTTCAATACATTATTGAAAGAAAATCAGGTTAGGAGTTTTTTTAACTACAAAACAGTCCAAGTAAGTTTTTCCCCCCATGGGGAAATCCACTTCTTTTTGCTTGACCTGAGGCGACTTGCAGTTGCCACCCACATCAGCCATCAATGGCAGATGGGTATCACTACGGCATCCAACTTATGAGTCATACTTTGGCCATCTTTCATTACCACTTGCCCTGAGGGAAGGATCCCTGGATAGACAGCGAGGAAGACAGGCAGAGTCTGTCCCAGAAGTCTGTTCACTGGACTCTCCTCCGCATACGGCCCTCACCACCCACCGTCCTGTGGAGTGATTCTAGAGGTTCACTGGTTCTCCTTAAATAACCATTTATTTACAATCTTTTGGATTGCTTAAATGCCATTTTGAGAGGGCTGCTCTCCTGAAAGACTTGAAAGAAATAAGGATATTAAACAAATATATACTAAATA